GCCAAAGGGTGCGGCAGCACCCCTACTTCCAGCACCTCTGAGCGTTGGTGCCTGGAAGCGGCCGATGATTAATGCTGTGCAAATGGGATGTGCTGGCCAACCCCAGCCAGCTCCGGGCAGCGGGAGCTCGCCCAGGCTCCTCTACAAGCCCGGGGGGTTGCAGCGTTCTATATTCCTGGCTTGTCTCTTTTATTCTTTTGTGCTCGGGCGTGTTGTCCTGGCCAGCGGTGTGAATGGGGGTTTTGTAAACCGGGACAGATAAAAATGAGCAACATCATATTGTTTGACAGAATGATCCAGGATGATAAAGTGCCTGCTCCGAAGGGGGTGAAAATGGTTGAATTCCTAAAAAACAGACCGAAGCTCGCGCTCTCTGCCTGCAGTAGCCTAGAGGAATCTGCCGAGTGCACCAGACAGGCTCACGTCCAACCCGCTCTTGTTCAATGGGAAAGTCTTTTTAATTAAAAAAAAAAAAAAGGCAGTTCCGGCTCGGGACCCCCCTTCTCCTCGTGGCAGATGAGAAGCACAATTTTCGAGAGAAAGGCTCGTTTTGATTAAATCTGACATGCTGCTGATAACTCCATGCTAATGTGAAATAATTAACATAATAGCCATAATTAAAAGCACGCTAACAATGCCATAAATTTATCACACAATTTTACTAGCTTTCTGCCCCTAACTGCTCTCTCATCGTTAATTAAACGTGTTGCCTTTTACAGAATGGATGTTTATACATTTCCAATACAAATAAATCCGCAACCGCGTTGGAAACATGACCAATTTTGTTTTACCCGGTGGTCTCCCGGCTTTATGGGCGATTTGTTGCGATTAAAACATCCTCTGCAAATAGTGTTTTTTAAAAAGGTGCCGATCCATAAAATGGTTTGGAAATCAGCATCTTTCTACAAGCCGGGGGTGGAAAAAGATAGAGAGAGAAGGAAGGGGACACAAGCTACCCACTGTCCGCGGCCATGAGAATGAATTTGGACGTGGGATCCTTATCCCTGCTTTAGGGTGGAGATCTGCCCCCGCCCGTGCTTTCAGTGGCACCTTAGAGTAAACTACCTCTTCCACCCCGCCCCCCACTTACAGTAACACTGTGAAAATGTTATTTACAAATACTTGCAAAGGGGACAATAAAGGCAGACGTGGATAATAAACATCAGCCCAAGAGCACGGGGCACCGACATCTCAACCAGGGTCAGTTTCATTTCAGTAACAAGACTGTCACCGAGAGCTAAGCAACTAACCTCACCCCCATTTTGGCCACATGATTTTTTTTTAAGATCGGTTTTGACAGTAGGACTATCCTCCTCCCCCCCACCACACACACACTTATAACAAACCACAATGCTCGTCTAATCCAGGTCAGGTCAACGATTTATATAACTCATTAGTGAAAGTAATAGGCTTAAGGAGATGAAAGAGGACACCTTTGATTCCTCTTTCCTTTAAAACGATTACAGGAAAAGGATCTGCCCCAGCATTGCAATTTCTCCCCACTCCATCCCCAAAAGTCAGCCTCCGGATTTTATTTTTTACTCGCTCTTCACCCAGAATTTTGCTTTGCCTTATTAGAACCAAATTGAGTTGTAATTAATTTCCCCCTCTCTATCATAAATTGTCCAATCTTCGCTTTCCTGGATGCTAGATGTGTCTCTATTTGACTCCATATCGATCTGGACTATGCAGTTTTCTTTTCTCCTGTTGCTAAATCTCTTTGTATATCCCCGCCCCCCCCCCCATTTTTTCCAATCCTTTGCGCGCACGCTACCCTAATCATTTTAGTGCTTTGCTGTGTACATCCCCTGGTTTTAGTCCATGTTAATCCTTTAAATTTTAGTAGATTAGGTGGCTGCGTGCCATCCCTCTCTACCAGATTCATTCTGGGAAAGTTTGCTTATTATTATAAAAGGTTTCTTCCTCCCCCTTCCCCCCAATCCTGGCTAAACTCAGGCCTAATGATGGAAGACTTATGGGTTTAATAACGAACTGCAATTAGTCTTACAACAGGATTTACTTCACGCCCAAATATTGTCAGATGGACAGGAGCACAGGTTCCTAAACACTTTCCTATAGCTTTGCCACTTCTACTAGTTCTGCACTTCTTAATCGTTCAGTCCTGCAGGGAATTCTTGCAACACAAATGTTACCGCGCCTTCCTCTCCCCCCCCATATCATAACAATGTTTTCCATAATGCCGGGCAAGATAGAGAGAGACCCATAAACACAAGCGTCCGTGGCAGAATTAAGAGCTGGACTTGCAGTGGTCCAGCTTTGACCCAAAGCATGTCAAAATTGCAAATCACTTCCTTTGCCCCCAGATCTAAATCGATTTTAAAAAGAGGGGAACTGAGAAGTGCAGGATATGAAGGCTCAGGGGAGAAACCTGAAGCACACGAGTCTAAGATCTCCATTTCGAGTCGAAAAGTTTCTGTAAAAGAGATGGGCCCCCTATCAGATGGTAACACTGATTGAACAAGAGATTAGCACAATAGATCTCTAATCGAGGGGAGACGTTTCTTTTCACGCTAAGCACCGTAATTAATGGTATGAATCAATTAATTTGACTTTTATTGTGTCGAAGAAAAGCTCAACAAATGAAACGGTGGGTTTTCAGAGTTGATCTCCCCCCACCACCCCCGGGAGATTTCAGAGAGAGATAGTCTAATATACATACACGCGCACAGAGAATCCTGTTTGTGTCTCTGTATGTTAATGGTAGGACAAATTCAGCTCCCTGCGAGAAGGCTCGGCCAAAGCTCCAGCCGGTTTTTAAAGCACCAGTGGAAGAGCTTTGTTGTCCAGATGGCAAAATATAAATTAGGATCATTTGGAGAAAGCGCAAAGAAGACACAAGACGGCAATCAATAAAGCACAGATACACACACACAAAAATCATCGAGAAAAACATTGGCTTTCAAAGCACCGAGCGACGCTTCTGTGTAGAGAGGGAGAGCTGGGATAGTGCAATGTTGTGGGCTTGCTTTCTTGTCTAAAATCTTCCTGGGCTGTGTGCGAGGGTTTTTCGTTTGTTTGTTTCTTTGTTTGTTTTAATAATGCATAGAGAGAGTCATTCTAACTCTAAAACAACCTTATTTCAGCACAGGAAAGGAAAGATATTTTTCCTCTCTCTCAAAACTTAAAAGAATACATATGAGAGTTTGACTTTTTTGGTTAGACACATTATAATGGTATTTTTATCTTTGCATTTTAAGTGTTGTCACTTTTTAAAAAAAAAAAACCCATTCGTTAAACTTTTGCTAGGTCAGACCCAGCCATCAGATTTATTTGGATGAAGATCTGTCCTGAAAATTAATGCTCACATTTTATCTCGAACTACTTTCCATTCCTCCCAATATAAAAACAACAGATTTAGCGCAAGTGTTAACGCCAAGTAGCCAGCGCGGATTATTTAAATAGCAATACTGTACTGTATACCTAGAGTATATATTGAAGCAAGTTTGATTAAGATCTTCTCCCCACTGGGTAGGGGATAAATCAATCTATCTGTTGCCAAACGTCTTCTGTAAAATATTTCATCAGAGCTTTACTCATCAATATTTTTATCCCACTAAAACGAGCGCTGTTCTATAGTTGTGATATTCACCTGCTCTTAGTAGGGTAAAGGGAATCTCACATTTTTGTTTGAACCGAATAAACCTTTCAGGCATCGGAAAGCAATTGACATGGTCCCCCCCTCCCCTAATTGTTAATAGAAAGGTGGGGAGGGTTATTGATTTCCCTTTGTGGACGGTTATATGTTCTTTTTAGGCAGGGAGGGATCTTAATGGAAGACCAATATGTTAATACAGACATTACCGATCTCTCTGATTTATTTTAAAGGGGGAAGGGGGCGGAGGGAAGAGTTTATGTGCCCTTTCGAACAATAATTGCTCATCGGAAATTGTTTTATCCTTTTGCAGTTTTCTACTTAAATATATTTTTTAAAATCCAAAACACATACGATCGTTCAAACAATACACAGGGATTAAAAAAAAAGGAAAGAAAAGAAAACCACTGAGCAAACCGTTTCCGACCTACCCAGGTGTTATTGTTCTCAGTTTAAACAGATCCCCTTGGCACAAAAGAAATAGAATTTGTAACCCTACCTCCCCCTCTTTGGAGCCCCCTTTCCTTGGGACAAGGCTTACCTTGCACTCTGGTGAATAGAGTCTTCACATTCACACACTCCCTCATTTCCTACTTTTTCATATGCTAACGCTGGCAATGATTATGTCGTTAACACCTCTGCCAAAAAAAAAAAGGCAGCTAAAGGCTTCTTTATTTATAGTTTCCCTTTGTTATTTTACGTCTTTTTTATTTCTCTCTGCAACTAATCTAATAGATTAATCAATAGCCATTTTCTGATCTTCGGTTTCCAGCTGATGCTGCTGTTGGAAAAAAAAACCCACCGGAAAGTGATTTCAGAGCCAAAAGTTGTTGTTGTTAAGCATTAATATGATGATGCAGCCGTTTAGTGTATATTTGGTCAGAGGCGATGGTGCTCATAAAACATATTGGCAATGCCTACACAGTTCAGGTTCTACTCCTGACCTTTGGCATTTCGCAGGGTGTTTGCATTTAAATAAAAAAACAGCACTAACTTTTTTTTTAATGCTAAAATCAGAATGGTTGTTCTCTCGCTCTTTTGCCAGTTCATAGAATTCCAGCATTATCATTGTTGAAAAAAGCTCCAGTCATCATGTAATAAAAATGAAATGCTTCTAACCTGTAATCTTAGATAAAGGCAGACTAATGGTTTCACACTGATATAGTCCTATTTTGGAGTCCCTACCTAGCGTGAAGGGAGGCTGTGGGCTGAAGTGATGCTTGTATATGATCATGATAAGTAGAGCCACTGTTGTCTCTTTGTTGACAATTCCATGAAACAACTTGAGTTTTGCATGGCTTAACAGTGGGGCGCCTGACGTCAGGCGGTCACGTGGCCACGCCTCCTAGTATATCTTTAACTGGAAAGTAATCTATCAGCCAGTCTTTAAAAAAGGACTTTCAAAGTGGCAAGTGAGTTCTTATAACACCCTGATTTCCCCCCTCCCTCTCTCTCCGCGTCTAGAAATACCTTTCCCCCTCCCTCCAAAAAGGGGAAAGAGAAACAAGAGAGAGGAAGTGTGTGTGGTGGTGGGGGGAAGCTACTGAGAGGACTGAAGCAAGACACCCTTTAAGAGAAGAGGTGGAAAGGCTGAGTTTAAAGAGATCTAACCTGCAGCAGCAGCTCAGATGAGCAGTAGAGGAGTTTTGATCGGATCCCAGTTGCTTGCTGGGGAAGCCACCAGCCCAGCTGCTAGAGGCGTTTGATCTGATCCCATATGTCTGCTGGGGGAAGCAGGAACCGGCAGAGACGTTTGATCCCAAATACCTGCTTATAGGAACCAGTAAAGGAGTTTGAACTGCCACGCTCAGCAGAAAGGAATCGGCGGAGGAGTTTGACCTGATGCCGGGTACCCTGTTGGAGAAGCCCCCAAGAAGCCCAACACCTCCAAGAGGAGTTTGATCTGATCCCAGATGCCTGGTGGAGAAGGCACCGAGCCCCGCAGACAGGGGACTTTGGTGTGATCCCAGGTACCTGTTGGGGGAAGCCACCAAGAAGCCAGCAGCTGGGGAGGGGGGGGTTGAGCTCAGGTGCCAGCTGGAGAAGCCACCAAGCCCAGCTCACCTCTTTCTCCCCCCTTTCCCCTCCCCTCCCGTCACACTTTTTCTCCCCCCCCCCAGCCCCCTCCCTTTCCCCTGTGCCCCCCTTCCCCTGAGCGGTGATGACCCTGTCAGGCAGCAGCAGCACCAGCGACATGTCCGGCCAGACCGTCCTGACGGCCGAAGATGTGGATATCGACGTGGTGGGAGAAGGGGACGAAGGGCTGGAGAAGGACAGCGACGGCGAGGCCAGCAGCCCGGCCGGGCTGCACCTGGAGGAGGCGGAGGAGCTGCTGCTCCCCAAGGAGGCGGGGGCAGGAGGGGAGCGCAGCGGCAGCGGCAGCCCGGCGGAGGCCACCCCTAGCGGGGCGGCGGACGGGGGGCAAGGGGGCAGGCAGCGGCGGCGGGGTGGGGGAGGACGGCGGCGGGGCCCTGCCGGGACAGAGCAAGCCCAAGAACAGCCTGGTGAAGCCGCCCTACTCCTATATCGCGCTCATCACCATGGCCATCCTGCAGAGCCCGCAGAAGAAGCTGACGCTGAGCGGCATCTGCGAGTTCATCAGCAACCGCTTCCCCTACTACCGGGAGAAGTTCCCGGCCTGGCAGAACAGCATCCGCCACAACCTCTCGCTCAACGACTGCTTCGTCAAGATCCCCCGCGAGCCGGGCAACCCGGGCAAGGGCAACTACTGGACGCTGGACCCCCAGTCCGAGGACATGTTCGACAACGGCAGCTTCCTCCGCCGCAGGAAGCGCTTCAAGCGCCACCAGCAGGAGCACCTGCGCGAGCAGACGGCGCTCATGATGCAGAGCTTCGGCGCCTACAGCCTGGCCAGCCCCTACGGCCGGCCCTACGGGCTGCACCCCGGCGCCTACCCGCACCCGGCCGCCGCCGCCCTGCAGTACCCCTACATCCCGCCCGTGGGGCCCATGCTGCCCCCGGCCGTGCCCCTGCTGCCTTCCAGCGAGCTGAGCCGCAAAGCCTTCAACTCCCAGCTCAGCCCCAGCCTCCAGCTGCAACTCAACAGCCTGAGCGCCGCCAGCTCCCTCATCAAGTCGGAGCCCAGCAGCCGGCCCTCGTTCAGCATCGAGAACATCATCGGGGTGTCGGCCACCAGCTCAGGGAGCAGCGCACAGACTTTCCTCCGGCCCCCGGTCACCGTCCAGTCCGCCCTCATGGCCCACCAGCCGCTGTCTCTCACCCGGACCACAGCAGCCATTGCCCCCATCCTGAGCGTGCCTACAAACATTATCTCGGGACAGTTCCTGCAGCCCGCAGCGTCCGCTGCAGCCGTGCAGGCAAAATGGCCAGCCCAGTAATTAAGAACTGCCCCGGGCTCAGTGCTGACTCTTTGCTTTTTTTATTATTATTATTTTATATCCATCTATCTATAAATAAGAGACTCGAGGGGGGCGGAAACCCCCAACCTCTCTTCCTATCAATCAGAGACAAAACCCCTGGACGCTAACCAAATCAAACTAAAAAACTGCAGTGTACAAGCAAAAAAAAAAAAAAAAAAAAAAAAAAAAAAAAAACAACCCCCCAAA